GAAAAAAAAGTGTGCAAACAAATTTGGAACTTAATATCATAACATCTGAAATTTGGCTGCATGCAGGGGCATTCGTGGCGTGAAGACTCATTTCTAGTTTATTTAAATTTAAGACATGAGTTTTGAACATGAAAGGGGTTCATTGAAAGAGTCCCACTGAGGCCCAAAACCAAGGAAATTTGAAAATCGTATAACTAGATCAATTTGAACACTTAAAGGCAGACACAGGCAAAAGTTTCAATTTTCTTCGTTTTGAGATTTTCATTCATCTTTCTCTAAATGTCCTCAAAATTAATAAAATAGGCAGTCATAGGAACAAAATTTTATAAAGAATAAAATTCTGGTTTCCTAACTTGACCCGCGTGGGTCAGGGTAGAGCATAAAGAATTCACAGAAATTGCCACAGTGAACTATGGAAACATTAAAGAACATATCATCATATCAAATGAATGACTTAGACTTGTTTCAATTAATTCAATGTTCACAAAATATGTTATTGTAACTGCCAGGGTTTGTTCAAGTCATATGGCTTGATTAAAAAAATCGGTGATTATGTCAGCGGTAAATTTCGTTATCCATCCACCTTATTCATTATCCCTCATGTACAGACACAATCAAACCGAGTCTGCAATTCTTATGTTATTTTGTTGTGATTAATGCTTCCGAGGGTTCACTTTGTTTCCAGAATTTTTTTTTTCGTTCATTACATCTAGATATATTTACGCTTCAAACCCAAAATAAATAGAATTTAAACAGAATTTCATGCTTGGACTTTAGAAAATGTCATTTTAGCGTGATTTGAGTACATTAAATCATTGTGATATTTTTGTCATTTATTTGCCTGAGTATCCCTTTAAAACATAATAATAACGTTAAAGGAATAAATTCATGTTTATACACGAGTTATTGGAATAAATCAACATAAAATGGTAAACAAGTTCTCAGAACAATTCTAGTCCTGTACTAAAGTGAAGTCCACTTGAGGTTAAATATTGTGAAATGTAAAATTTACTTTATTATTGTTATAGTAATAGCTGCCCAGTAGAAATACAGCTATAGACCAATGGAAACTTGTTGAAAGAAATTGGATGACGATAAGTTAAGTAAATAATGACATTAAAATTATTGTATGGTTTGAAAAAAGATATTCTTTCATCATATAATTGTCAATCGCTGTTGCCTTAAATACGTTTTCTTGGAATAATCTTCATTTCTGCGAATCGCTTTTATTTTTCTTATAAGGGAATGTTGACAATATGTTTGTCTTTGATGTAGCTTTTACAAATTCATAATTGTATACTGTTTGTTTTTTTGGCTTTGAACATCCGGATATAAATTAAATAAGTTCATCTAAATTGAGACAAATTTAGTTCATAATAAACTTGTTGCCTTGATTCACCTTTCTTTTAGGTTTATTTGCTCTGATAAAATGTTTTGATGACATGATTGTAAATATTTATGTTCATCTTCTTTCATACACTTATATATATACAAGGGATGTATGTATTGCTAAATCTATCTGCAGACTTCAAATTTCGAGAGAGCTCAAAAGTGCTCATTTCATGCTCTCGAAGTACACCCCATGGCTAGAAATGCAAAATTTCATCTGATGTACCCACATCTTGAAGGCGTCACGATACGCTGATTTGGGCACTGTAATAAGGTACTGATGAATGGCAGATCCAAGTGCTTGTCGGGACTTGTATTTCAAGGAAGCATTTCAATTTCGGAAACAGAAAGAAACAAGTTTGCTTCTTTAAAAAGAAGCATGCGAGAGGTATTTTTGCTGCTGTAGAAGATTTGTTTAATTCGAAAATATTTGGGGATATTATATGGCATAAAAGACACAATGAATGGTTATAAATTACAATTATAAAACAAAATAGAATTTATTATATATATTGCAATTAAAGTTTGTTTTACACTTCATCTTTTTTAATGTTTTAAAATATTATATGCCGGAGTAATAGACTTTTTTTTCTTGGCGCATTAGGGATACTTTTTCTACAAATAAAATGTAAAATTACTTAATGTAAATTAAATGATATATATCATTTAAAATTTGTATTTTAAATTCAGTTCCCTTTGTAGAAAAAGTATATAATTATATATTAAAAGTAGTATCAAAATAAAAGTTTCTAGTAAAGTTCAATAAGCAAGTTTTCGGTCACTGTTTTGTTAAATATAATGAAGCATTTCCTCTACATTTTCCAAAACGGGTATAAAGTATGATAATCAAACAATTTTAGTCCTGGGTTTGCATAAAAAATGTTAATATAATTTGATTGGAATAAACAGTATATACTGTTATATACTGTTATACTGTTATATACTGTTTATTGGAATAAACAGTTTATAAAGTTGCATGCCTCCAACCACAATATTAGAAGAAAATCAAACTTGAGGTTGAATTTGTGCCATTTGCGCAAAAAAATCTCCCTTTGCGTTATTAAGACATACCGGTTCAATACACGGTTCACTCGGTCATATAATATATTTTTTTGTTGTTTGTTTCATTGTACGCCTTTTCCCAACAGTATTTTAGTCATATAGGCGGGTAGTTTCCTAACCATGGATAGTTACACCAGTACTAGACAACCTTCCTCCACGCTAAACTAACAAAAAAAGCATCTCTCGGGGATCGAACCCACGCCAGAGAGTTAACTTGATAAAAAGTCATAAACTCTAACCCCTCGACCACGGAGGCGGTATATAATGTACATGTTGATATTGTAGCTATAATGTTTACTGTAACTATTTATCAGAACATGAAATAGTATAGAAAACAATACGGTAACCGATTTATACAATTTAAAAGATTCAACGGAATGAAACATCAACGTAGTGTTAAGTAACGTAAATAAATGATATTTTCCGATTTTTCTATGTACCGACTTGCTCACTTCGATGTTAATTTTTCGTTTAAGTTAAGTCGTATTTTGAAAAGGGGCATGCGCAAAACAATTTTTGTAGACTGCTCCTAATGATTTTACGCTTAAAATGAGATTCATCACTGCAATAAGATACGCAAAAATGATTTAGATTTAGATTTTATTCCAAATACATGTGGGTATTATACCCATGAGCACACAGCATATATACAAACATACATACATACATACATACATACATAAACATAATATCAAGGTCATTAAACATATACAACATATATTTAACATTTACTGTATATTTGAGTCATAAGTTTGCTTTAATATGAACAGAATAACATATTACAGCAAGGTTTAAATGAAGCACAGGTTTTGCATAATGGTATCAATTAAGTTACATTACATTTACCTTCCTAGGTACTATAATTTACGAATATTCAACATTTGTTCTTAATTCAAACATTTTAAAGATAAACATTGATAATTTTCTTATACCATTTTCATTTTGAGATGTTAACAATTCAATAAATTTTGGTATATTTGTTTTTTTCCAATAATATTTATCTATGAGCTGTTTTCTCAGAACATTGTATTGTGGACATTCTAATAATACATGAAATTCATCTTCTAGTTTTAAGCAAATACTACATTTTCTTTCATTATAAGGAATTGCTTCAGGTTTATGCCATCTACCAGTTTCTACTTTTAATCTATGCGAAGAAGTCCTGAAACGTGATAAAGATTTCCTAAATTTTTCAATATTAACCATTGACAAATATGACTTAAAACCAAAATCACAAAATAATACATAACTTCTTGCTCTTAGTTGCATACCAATTTTGTATAAATGTATCTGTTCATCTTTGTTTTACTACTGCTACAAATAAATTTATATCACCAACGCCCTGATTAATCCATACTTCATTGAAACCTAAAGATTGTAACAAAATCGTAACAGACTTAGCCCAGGACTTTGAATTCGGTTAAAGTTCTAAATTTCTACACATAAGATCATATACAATTTTGACATATTTTGTACTACTTAACTGAACAACTTTTAACCAGTATTATATAACATTAATAGCTCTCATTATTTTTAAAGATGTCCTTCCAAGTTCACCATAGATAAAATTGTTTTGTGTTTGTCTTTTAACTCCTAACAACTTCTTACAATACTTTAAATGAATATTTTCTAATACATGACTATCAAGTAAACCCCATATTTGTGATCCATAGTTAAAAATTGGTAAAATAAGTTTATCAAATAAATCCAGTTTATGTTTAACTGACATACAAGGGAATCTTATCAGCTCTTTTTCAAGTTTATACAACGCCTTCAATGCTTGTCCAGAGAGTATTTCAAAAGTCATATTAAAAGATCCACCGACAGAAAAAACAATGCCTAGATATGTAAACTTTTTAACTATTTCAGTTGACTGACCTTTATAATAAAAATTCAAATTCTGTCTAAGTCTACCCCCCTTTTTAAAAATCAAAACCTTTGTCTTTGTACAGTTAACACTTAATTTCCACCTATCACAATATATTTCTAATAATCTTAATCCTTTTTGTAAGCCCTCCTCTGTTTCAGACATAATCATATGGATGCCGCCAGCCGCACAGTCAGTCTGAACACTATGGAGAGGTCTGATGACCTCTCCAATCACATGGGGCAAGGTCTGGAGGATACGGGGGTGAGGCAAAACAGTTACTTTTTCTTTTTACAAAAACGCCAAAACTATTGCGGAGGTATGAGCGGGGTCATGTACAGGACGGATATGCTTAAAACCAGTGACAGGGCGTCGTTTCTTATAATACTTTCTCAGTTTCTTAAGCACTTCGTCTTTGTAGTACTTTCCAGTGATACTTTTGCCCTTTTTCACCAGCACAATTATTGCGACACCTTCAGAAAGGAAGAAAATTGCATACAAAACCTTCCTTGCACTTGCAGACCGTTTGGCAATTATTGGGCGTTTGTTGTGATAAGTGGCTCAGATTTTGCTGCAAACTTTCTGTTGGGCTTAAAATAATGGCACAAGTTTCATCACCTGTGACGACATTGGCAAACTAATGGGTTTTTTTGTCATATAAATAAATTAAAAAAAAAAACCCTGATATTTTCCGTATTTTATTGATAATAGAAAGGACAAAACTTTCTGTCTGTGTTTTTCCCATTGCCTGAAAAGTAGGATGATACATCTTCTTAATAAACATACTTATAATAGTATGATCATCAGACACAGTTGACATGTATGACTCTTCAATGACTACCTGTATTCTACCAACTCATGACTTTCTTTAAAATCCTAAAAATGTTTTTTGAAGTAGGTAAAATATTTTATGATTATATCAGTTTAACGATCATACACTAAATTTCAGAATAAAGCTTTATTATATACATACACGTATATTAAAAGAGATTATTGTCGTAACTTTTCATGGTGTTCTTTTTCCAAATGATTAAACCGAGGTCTTTCAATTTTTTTTCATTTTTCAAAATATAATTAAATAAAAAAAAGAAGAAAAATCATAAGCAAATTTACATTTAATTTTATCTTGACAATTATGTACAAAATCCACATGTTTTTTGACATCGTTTCTGTGCAAGAGCGTAGCCAGCACCAGCATTAGGATTACAATATCCAAAATAGGTCATATCTGCACATGTAAATGTTGGGTCATCATGGTCCGCACATATTGTAGTTGTATTTACCACTAAAATTTAACAAAACAAATAAAGATTTCGTAAAATATGTAACATCAACATGATTTTAATCATAATGGTGGATAATTTACATTGTAATCGGATTTGTACTATCGTATTGCACTTACTGTCCATTTATTGAAGTAATTGTCGGTGCATATTTATTCCGAAGTGTATTGAAATCATGGATTAGAAACAACATGTCTATATGAGCATTTACATTATACATTATACAAGTGTGAATTGAGCATATTTAAGTCTTTCAAAAATATTTTATTGCAAAAGGTAAAATTCATTATAATTATAGAAGATTGTTCTATGAGGTTATATTCTAGAACTCCACATCAAACATAGAAATACAGAAAATTAATCTGGAAACCACTGTTTATACTAATTCACACCATACAAACAAAGAAAATATATGATAAGAACGAACTTGCCAGCTTATATAATGTATATAATATCAAGAAGTCGTTTTCTTCTAAATTTATTTCTAAATAATGTAGTGAATCAAAATTAATCCAACATGATGCCTGAAAATGAACGTAACATTGGCTGTGTTATCATAAATATAAAACGTTTACTCGTATTAGTTGTTGCTGAAGGATTTGATGCATGTGATGTTATCATAGATAAAGTTGATGCTGTTGTTGATGCAGGAGCCACTGTTGTAGTTGCTGGTCCCCTATAATAGGCTGCAATTAAAGTTAACATATTGACAAGACTTTCATTGCTTCATATTTAACACTATATGAAACTTCTAAATGTTTGTGATAAGAAGAAAATAACACATTTGTTAATAAAGCAAGACTCTCGCTCAAAATTGACAGACAAACGAAGACTTCTGTCACACGGGACTTTGCACACTTTTATAACTACAATATTCTCTTTGGTTTAATACCAATAAGAAAGTTGTGGGTGAAAAACAAAAAACAAAAAAACAAAAAAATCGCTTCACTATTAAGCTGTATAATGTAGAACTTACGACATAATGACTTCTCGCAGCCGGTATATGCACAACACTGCTTGCATACGATAGGACCATATTCATTAAAATGATTGTGAGGATGACCAGAACACTCCTGTAGATAATAACAAAATACTTATATTAGATTTTGAAGTACTTTATATCGGACTGTATCAATATGTCCAACCAAGTTACAGTTTAATACTTTCACAGACCTGACTCAAAATAGGTTAAGTGGGAAAGAGCAGGACAGAACATTGTTAATCAATCATGAAAGACTGAATGATTTTAGCAATTTTAGTAAAGGATCATTTCTGTAGAGTTTTATTTGAATTTAACTAGCAAGTTAGGAAGAAATATCATTTCAAGATGATTTCTGTTTTTTATTTATGGTGAACATTTTGTTCTTTAGATTAGAACCAGCTTAGCAATGTTTGTAAACGACAACCTATGGATCATTACTGTACAGTTTATAACAAACTAATAATTAGTTCAAAGTTTTTTTCTATATTACGCTCCGCTGGACATCTTGTAAAGCAGCAGACCAGATCCATTTGAGCAATATCTGCAGATGGCCACATAAGGATCATCATTCTTGTATAGTTTCATCAAAATTTAAGTAGTTGAGAAGATGTCGTTTAAAAGTGTTTTTTTTTTCTTTTTCATTTTAAGCTCATCATATCATCTTGTTCAGCGGCAGTTTTTGTGAGGACCACTTACGGATCATTTCCATTAATGTCATCACTATTGGCCAAGCGACTTAGGCGAAATTGTCATTCAAAGCTAATTTCTTTTTTAAGCTCTGGCGGCTATCTTGATCATAAGGTCTAGGCAAGTGTTGTAAAAACTTTCTAATAAGTATTATTCCACAAGTTCATTAAAATCTGCCAAGTGGTTGACGTGCGAATATCGTTTTCAGGTTTGTTTCTATTTTAGCTTTGTTCCGGAAACGACTATTAGAGCAATTTCAGTAAATTATCATCCCTGTGTAGTTTCATAACTATTAGTCAAGTGACTGAGGAGGAAATATCTTTTAAGGCTGCTTATTTTTTTTTGTTTTGTTTTATTTGGAGGCCATTTTTAACAACAGACCATTGTTCATTTGATGATAACTTGTTACCTAATGCTTATTACTGCGTAAAGTTTATCAAAATCTACAGAGTGATTGTGGAGATGAATTGTTTGATTTTCTCTTACAGCTTTTTTGTTCAACGGTCTGAAACCATTTGAGTTATTGTTATAGAGGACCACACAATGGGCTCAATCACTGTTGCCCGAGCTTTTTAGGGGGAGATGTTAAAAACAGATGACAGACGCCTGACAAGTGACTATTACAATAGATCACCTTGGGAACCTTGTGCTGGAAAGAACATGAAAGTAAATAGTTCTTTCTTTTCTCACTTAAAAAGATGAACACTTAAAAGTATGATTTCAACTTACTTTTTCATCTCCGCATCCAAATCTGAACCAATTCACACCATTAAGCTGATGCACCTCTACAAAGCAATACTGTAAGAAAGAATGTAAGCGAAAAATTAAGGTTTTACATCGTATTTATTTTAAGTTTTGTGTGCAATATAATTTAATGAATTGATGTGTTACATATAAAAAAGTTGCGCCAAAACCATAATGAATTTAAAGTGATCGAAAATGACAGATAACAAGCGCCTTGATCAGAAACAACGATTTTTAGCTCACCTGTCACAAAGTCATGGCAGCCAAAAGAAAAAACTTTAAAAATCTTCTTTTAAAGAACCCAAAGAGCTAGAGCTAAGATATTTAGCATGAAACATGTTCTAATAAAAGCCCTGGGGTCAAAATTGGCCCTGCCCCGGGGGTCATTGATTTTCCTTATATGTGTATGGCAAAAACTTAAAAATCTTCTTTGAAAAAAACCAAATAGCTAGAGTTTTGATATAAAGAATGAAACATCTTCTAGTAAGTGTCTACAAAGTTTGTTTAAATAAAATCCCTGGGGTTAAAACTGGCCCTGCCCCAGAGGTGTCATTGTTTTTTTTACTATATGTGTATCTTCTTTTAAAAAAACCAATGAGCTAGAGGTTATATTTTAAGCAGGAAACATCTTTTTGTTGGTGTCTACCAAGTTTGTCCAAATAAAAGCCCTTGGGTTTAAATTGGCCCTGCCAAAGGGGGGGGGGGGCGAAGGTTATTGTTTTTCATTATATGTGTGTAGTAAAAACTTAACATCATGAAACATCTTCTAATGGGTGTCTTCCAAGTTTGCTCAAATTAAAGCATTGGGGTATAAACTGGCCTCGCTCCGGGGGCCTATATACAGGTGAGCGACCTCAGGGCCATCATGGCCCTCCTGTTATTTTTACTCTCACAATTAATGTTAATCTAAATTATTATTATAATCTATTTAAATATGATATATTTCTTTTTGGCAAAATGTGTACGACAAATTGCCAAATTTGAATAAATTTTGTTTTAAAATCAATATTATTACCCCTTGACAATGGTGATAATGTGTGCATCTATTTGGATGTAAGACAGGGTTACATGATAGACACGATCTAGAATTCCCAGGTGCCGGAACAACCTGAAACACTGCAATAACAAAAATCTTATTCGTGATGATAACCAATGAATTACTACTTATGACTGACTACACAGTTATCTTCTTTGGGGTAAAACAGAATTGTAACACAAATACACAAATCTTTAAAAAAAGAGTTGTTTATAATATCCGAAATGACAATTGTAGATATGTTTCCCATAATGTCGAGATGTCGTGTTTCTATAAAATTTTCGATTATTATTTAGATGATTTAGACATTTATATTGAACATAGTAATTATGCATTTATACGTTGATATTTTGTTAGGTTATCACTTGTATACATATGTGACGTTAAATTGATAGTTTACGTCACGTTTATTTCTGATGTGACATAAAGTCATATCATATTCTGATTGTATGCAAATATTGAATAGATTCAATTTTAACGTGACATGTACGTCTAACACGGTATATATTGCAAATAAAGACTGTTTAAAGCAATGAATGTAAATTACACCTTTTCACTCATTGTTCAAATATTTAAAAAAAAATTTTAGCTCTTGAAAAAACAAACAAAACAAAAACTGACACAAGATATAATGATAAAAAATAAAAACAAAAAAAAAAGACATTAAAAAACTTACAGCAGAATAGCATGAATACTACTACACAAAGCGCCATCTTGCTTAGCTGAAAGTCAAGTTGTAACAAATTAAATGATAAGCTAGCCTACTGATCACGTAAAATCGCGCCATCTTGCACGGACAATTCTAAAACAGGGAATGCACAGCAATTATGGTTCTACCCAGTGTAAAATCTGACGAATGGTAATAAAATTATATATTACATTTGGATAAACTTATGATTTTCAAATACAGCTCTAAAATCGCATTTTCTGATTGAATTATTGGTATGATTAAAAGAAATGACAATATTATATGTGTTAAACTGAAGTTGAGCGTGTATGTTATATGTTCATCAGTTATATACGTATATATACTGGTATAATATTATAATAGCATATAATATATAGCACTGATTATAAAGTTGATAAAGTGTTTAATTTAATAAAACCACCAGTTGCCTACTGATTATTACGGTAGAGTAGTAGTGCCAAGTGTATGTCTTTTACTTGAAATTTCGAGTTACTTATCTCGACTTATTAACTCGAAATTTCGACTAAGTAACTCGAAATTTCGAATTAATAAAAAAAACACACCTGACACTAATGCTCCTCCGTAGATTATACATTCAGTACAAACGATATATTAATTTTCGATGTCCATCTAAACAATAGTGTAATTATATTTCAAAACTCAGAATTTTAAACATTTTTCCCAACATAAATATAAAAAAATGTGAATTCTTGCATATACACGGTATACTTAGGTATACAATAACGGAAAAGAACGAATATAATCACGTGAGCGTCCCTCCTTGCTTCATTTTTTTTATGCAATGACGGCCCCGTTTATAAGAACATAATTTTCAAATGACATCACACTAGCAAGTGTAAAGAATGTTTTTCCTTATAAAAACGATAGAAAACGTAACGTGGAATTACTGAATTCTACTTTTGCTTTGCTGCAAGAATAGCGCATCTTTTTCGTGCATTAACATCTGTAGAAGCCCTGGACTTTAATATTAAATAACTCGTCCTGTGGACTCGGGCTTTGAACGAGTTTCCGTACATCTGCGGACAAATATTCATCGTCTACGGAAGTCCTGAAGGGACATATTTATCATTTAAAGATTATTACTTATGACATTATTTCTAATCTTTGAGACGATGAGAGAGAATATTAGTTACAAAACGGAATCTATGGAAGAATATTTATTACTTATTATATATATCTCATTTCAGTTGAATATATCATACATGTGTTACATGTAATAAATACATAGGTGATAAATAATAGGTAATATATATGTTCTTCTAGAGCATCCGTATGCATACCCTCTCATGTTCTCCTCATCGTCTCAATGTAAACAATTTCCCGCCAAAAATAGCGCGGTTTAATATTGAATATAAGTAATTAATGTCATAAGTTATAAACAATAGGTAATAAGTAATTATTTTTAAATAATAAATGTCCCTCCAGGGCTTCCGTAACAAATACTTATTTTGAATAGAAAAGAATTAAAAGGGAAAAAAAATGAAAATCAAAAAATAATCAAAAAAGTCTTACTGTTAAATATTCAGCCACATTAAATGTTTGGAAATTAAAAATAGTTTAAGGAAAGATAAGGGGTCATGGCCTTCCTTTGGCTAATTTGAACTCATCATAGTTTGTTGAAAGTAATTAACCTTTAACCAGTGTGGTGTCCGTGTAGATGTAAACGTCCCCGTTGACTTATATCTGTTTATAACATCAACAGGTTATGAAAATCTAGCAGGAAGTAAAACACATGTTGTTTCACAGTGTTAGTCTTTATCAGCTTTTGTTTAACCTTCCAGGTCAGAGCAATAGTTTGTCAGGTCACGTGTCATCCTTACATATTCAACAGTTTACTTTGTGTGAACCATCTAAAATAAACAAACCAGCATATATAAAGAGAGAAAAAATAAAGTCATACACTTTATGCGTATTTTATTTTGACTACATTTTACATAGTAACTATTACAATAAGATCTGTCATTTATCAACTGTAATTGTCATTTATCAGACAGCCAGGTAGGCTGTAATTGTTATTTTATCAGACAGCAAGGTAGGCTGTAATTGTTATTTATCAGACAGCCAGGTAGGCTGTAATTGTTATTTATCAGACAACCAGGTAGGCTGTATTTGTTATTTTATCAGACAGCCAGGTAGGCTGTAATTGTTATTTATCAGACAGCCAGGTAGGCTGTAATTGTCATTTATCAGACAGCCAGGTAGGCTGTAATTGTCATTTATCAGACAGCCATGTAGGCTGTAATTGTTATTTTATCAGACAGCCAGGTAGGCTGTAATTGTTATTTTATCAGACAACCAGGTAGGCTGTAATTGTCATTTATCAGACAGCCAGGTAGGCTGTTATTGATATTTTATCAGACAGCCAGGTAGACTGTAATTGTTATTTATCAGACAGCCAGGTAGGCTGTAATTGTCATTTATCAGACAGCCAGGTAGGCTGTAATTGTTATTTATCAGACAACCAGGTAGGCTGTAATTGTTATTTTATCAGACAACCAGGTAGGCTGTAATTGTTATTAATCAGACAGCCAGGTAGGCTGTAATTGTTATGTTATCAGACAGCCAGGTAGGCTGTAATTGTTATTTTATCAGACAGCCAGGTAGGCTGTAATTGTTATTTATCAGACAGCCAGGTAGGCTGCAATTGTTATGTTATCAGACAGCCAGGTAGGCTGTAATTGTTATTTTATCAGACAGCCAGGTAGGGTGTAATTGTTATTTATCAGACAGCCAGGTAGGCTGTAATTGTTATGTTATCAAACAGCCAGGTAGGCTGTAATTGTTATTTTATCAGACAGCCAGGTAGGCTGTAATTGTTATTTTTGTGTCCTGTTACAAATTTCGAAAAATTTCTTGTTTACCTTCACTTGCTTCTTTTGGATATACATGTAGTTATTTAGTATTGTGTATGTAAATGTAAATACAACTTCTTTCTTGTACATTTTTGAAAAAAATATTTCACATTAAGCACTTCTTACTTCCGATGATATGTACCTAATTTGCTTAAAATCTGCTTGTAAAATATTACTTAATTTGCCATTCCTATAAACAAGAAAAAAGTTCATTTCTGAGGCATAATTAGTCTTTAAGCATTTACAGAAATGTACATACTGGATGTTCTTTTTAGAATCTGAGTAGCATTTTTTATTAACAATGTCTTTAACTAGTATACACTACTCGAAATATCCAAATATGAAATACACGATGTGAAAAAATGAATATATATACGAAAGTGCAATAAAGCTGGTTTAAACATATTTATTTAAGCTCGATTTTGAAACAAGTTCTTGCAACTTATATGAATCACTTTCGAGTCCGCTTCCTGGAACCAACCAGTACTAGTGTCAAATGAAGAATCATGGTCGTGACCCGAGTAGGGCTCGAACTCATTATCAATGGGTTGAGAGGCATACACCTAAACCACCAGTCCACCGCTCCCCTTTAAAACAAATTCATTCAAAGGGAAAAAAAGAACAACAGCAATTTTATGATACACAAAAACAAAATAAAGCAACAGATTGAAATAATTTGAATAAATCAATTTTGCCTGATGGCCTTGACCCCAGTGATGTCCTTGATATAACAGTGTGGGGTTGTAAAGCTCTACTGTGTCTATATTCTATATATGTATTTCAAATTTGATAAAGGTTTACTAGGTGATGTTCAACATGAAATACATGAACTCTATCTAGCCTTTATGATAACAATTGAAACGAATTTCTTATCTTCATGTTTATAATTTTTCATGCAGGTTTTCATCAATGATTAAATTGAACTACACTGTATAGCTACACTTATAAAATTAAATATTGTATACCAGATTTGATCTTATTTAAACCTAATCACACACTGAAGTTTTACAACTAAGAAGAAGAGGCTCATTCTTGCTTATTGTAGTGGTAAATTTGATTGTATATAAATAAGTAACCTACAAAATATTATACTAGTACTTCAAATATTTCAAATCCAAAAATAACCAAAATAAAAAATTGTGTTTTTAACTAGTACAATCTAAACTCTGCACGCTGTAGAGTTGGTAGCAAATAGTTTTTACAAGTTCACTTCATAAATTTATCACACACCCGTGCCGATTTTGCGACTCCGTAAATATGGTATTGCACGGCCGTGCATATATTTTGACGTGACGTCATTAGTGTTATACAAACATAGTGTAAAGAGCGCTAAATGTTAGCGTTATACTATAGGCGCATCAATGAAAAATGGCTCTCATTTAACTTTAAACGGTCTTTATTTTGGGTATGTGATAAATAGAATATTAAATTCGTGTAAGTTCCATACTGGTGTAAGTTCCATACTGAATTTATTGCACTTGTTAAATAAAATGACATTATGCTCGCCAGAGGCTCGCATTAAATAATTTTATTCAACTCGTGCAATATCCTCTATGTAAGTGATTTGAGTTACCCCCTCTCTCCTTTAAAGCAGGGTAACGCTCTCAGTAGGGTCGACCAGGATATGATACATGTCGAATATTTATACTTAACGCATTATAGTTTTTCCCCCTATTTTACACAAGAACACTGAAAAGTCTACAATGTAGGAATAAAATTTGGTGGTCACGAGGTACAATTCAAAAGCAATTATGATTGGTTGTTAATAAACTGATAGTTTTACCATTAAAAGCATTTTCAAACTTTTTATACTTAAAGTGTCTGGTCATGTCCTCACGCTGATATTTTGAAGGGCAAATTATTGTCATCTTAACTATTGTAAACTCCGGGTTTGATAACTGGATACGTTCAGTTAGATATAAATGAGCATTTTGAAACGCAGATTTCAACATTTTGAAAGAAGGTGACCTACAAATGCTCGATAATTCAGCTGGCAAACTATTCTTTCAACATTAAGATTGCTCACCGCCCTTTTTATTCTTTTAAAGTACAATTTTTCAATTCCTTTATTAGGGCTTTGGTTAAAATAATGTGTGTATTGCGTAACACATTTACTCGCCGCTTTCTCTGACTGTTATTTCCATAATACGTAGCCAATCAAATATGCCGTTTCGATGTAAAGTCATTTAAGCAAATTGACCTTGAAGGAGATTCACAAATAGACTTCAATCTTCCCCTCGGTACGTGCACATGGACAAGGCAGATGATTTAAGAACCACTTATACCTGTAAGATGGTAAGTTTGCTTGCTTTCTTCAACTCAGGGTTACCTTATACTTAGTCTGCATAAAGTCAACTGCCGATGTCCTGACTAAAGCCGGGGATGTGGCCCTAATATGTTGCAATGACGAAGAGGAAAGTGTGCTAGGATATGTGAGCCCGTAGCATTGATTTACGTCTTTAAAGGCAGGCCCTTTGCTGGACAAATCTTCTCCTCTTTCATTTTGTTCAGGTTGCTTTACATTTAGGTTTTCATTGGCCGCTGTACTTTGGCACAAAATTCATATCTGTGACTATAACTCCGTAAAGAAATGGCATGGATGAGAATTACCACAACTTGGTATTTCAAAATAACCTTTTCAATGCATGACTGGTAACTGGTACGTACTTGAAGGCGAATTTTTATCCTTAACGGGCGGATGGACGTAAATCAATCAATCAATCTATCCGTCCGTCCGTATGTACGTACGTACATCATACATACACAATATGTTCAAGTCAAGCGGAGAAACACTTTGATATTCAGATTTAGATTCAGTTTTTGAGATCTTTATAATTAAGAAATCTTGTCATGCATGCAGTAAGACACAAGGAAATAGATCTATCATTACCCATGTATACTTAGAAGTTAAAATTAAACTTGTTTGATAAAGGAATCTTTATAATTAAGAAATCTTGTCATGCATGCAGTAAGACACAAGGAAATAGATCTATCATTACCCATCTTTATAATTAAGAAATCTTGTCATGCATGCAGTAAGACACAAGGAAATAGATCTATCATTACCCATGTATACTTAGAAGTTAAAATTAAACTTGTTTGATAAAGGAATCTGTAAAAGATAAAAAACAGTCGCACGAGGACATAGTTTTATTTGTAACATGATCCATTGTAACGAAAAAAACAACTCCCTTGCTGATGTTAACACCTGAAAAAAGAGCACACATAATAAATGTACGGCATAAATTAAAAGAAAAACCGTTATATCTTTATTTTGTCTTTTGTTTTAACTACGAAAATCATAACAAATGATATAAACGACATCATACGATATATATTATTATATTATTACAGGAATTATCACCGAATTATTTATGGAATAAATTTGGTATAGATCTTTACACAACTCTGCCGTTTAGACATCAAAAGTTACGTACAAATCTCTATTCATTTCCGCTAGTATCAATAATTTTGTCGCTGCTTCACGTTTTATATTTATTATGAATATAGGTAAGAAAAGAAGTGTTACATTCTACATGTATATATAATCTTGTATGACGTTTTGACCAAAAACAAACCATCAACTGTTTTGTACTAGTATTTCAAAATTTGGCGCTATTTTCGGTTACTTTCAATGGCCTGATGCGTGTCGATGCTGTTTTTCTCGCATGAAAACTATTTTACGTTTCAACGCTATTGTTTCAGTGTAACCTAAAGTAATTTTTATTTATACAAAACATAATGTGGTTTGCATGTTATTTAACCAGTTTTAATATCTTGAATTATATTGATAGATAATACACGATATGAAGTGTTGCGATAGAAATGCGTTACAGTGTACATGTATGTGTGATCGCATGTCCGTACATGCATGCTATGTTTTCAATTATGTTAGCTATAATAATGAACTTATGCACGTACGTCTGTGTATGTTAGCTATAATAATGAACTTATGCACGTACGTCTGTGTATGTTAGCTATAATAATGAACTTATGCACGTACGTCTGTGTATGTTAGCTATAATAATGAACTTATGCACGTACGTCTGTGTATGTTAGCTATAATAATGAAATTATGCACGTACGTCTGTGAATGTATAAGTAAGTGTATAGTTTACGCCTTAGTATTGTATTTCTTCGAGATTATACAGAATTAAAAGAAAAACTGACACAAAAGTCTCAAACATCGCTAAATTGAATTTTTATTTCATAATCAAAATAAAAGTGACAAGCATAATTGATACAAATTAAAACTCAAATGCTTTAAGATTTGGAGATTTCGCTTATTTACTGAAGATATTAATTTAGGAGTAGAACAAATATACTACAAGTTATTTTTCTACAATATCAGCAAAACACACTAGTTAGTTAAACAGTTTCGGTGCTGCCAACATAACCGTTTTCTTGTAACATAAGCAAATAAGTGTTTTATTAATCAATTAAGGTTATGTTAAAAACACAGTGTATCTGACAGTGCCAACAAACGTGCGCAATGTTAGTTAAAGAATTAAATAAACGAAGCAAACAAAAATGGTAGCTGTTAGGATGACGCAATAGTGTGTTTAAACATGTGTGTGTTTAAATGGTGTCGCGCACAGATGCTTGGGTGTCAGAGATCCTGCCCCCAATGCGATACCCCCCTTCAAACACTCTATCAAAACTATTTTAATATTTAAACACGAATGGGAAATCTTTTACAAACAATAAAAATGGTTTTCAAACAATTTTCACATTAATTATATGAAATCAAGTCTAAATAAAGTAGATTGCAGACTCCATTGGGCTGCCTTCGATTGCACACTTTCGACACGGGTAACAATCGAACAAGGTAGAGTTGAGTATTACGTCATCAGTTTTGCGTACCTGAGTTACGCGGGTTGGACACTGCCTATCAGCTGGGTAATAAGTGTTAAAAATGGCGACAAACAACGTTGAACAGGAGTAAGTGAGAGGATTTTTATACTTTTTCTGCTTTTGTTTGTTAATAGAATCTAAAATAGCCTTTGAATTTATCTTTACTTTATTTATTCATATAAAATATTTAAAGTAATTCAAGCACTATTTCCTCCGCCAAAAGGTGCAAATAATTCCCTGGGCGCAGCCATATTTGTTTACAACCCGATCAACTCGTGCTTGTTCGAGTGCTATTAAAGGTACGCATGCGCATATGAGCTTTTCCGGTATCGACACTACTTACACGGGTTAGGCAATTGAAGGTAAAGACAATTACCTTGGTATAATAAAACCTTTAAAGATCATTATCAAATAAACCTTACCGTGACTTTTCCGGCGTAAATCAATAGAAAATAGAATTATCTCCTAGATTTTTATTCTATATAATGTACAATAAAAATGTTTGAATTTGACTTTCGGGTTTGAATCAAATGAGATGTATAAATGTTTATTCTGATTGCATCTAGGAGATAACTCTATTTTCTATTGATTTACACCAAAGTTTATTAAATAATGATTTATAAAGGTTTTACTATACTAGGGTAATCGTGTTTACATTGAGAGGTATTTTTTCATATATGTTAAAATTGTTTGAAAATCAATTTATAATTTTTATCGTTGTAATAGATGTCCCATTCGTGTTTAAATATTAAAATAGTTTTGATAGAGTTTTTACAGGAGCGTATCACATTGGGGGTAGGATCTGACCCCAGGTGTCTTTGGTGTCGCGCTAATGTGGATTACCCTCATTCATCTTAAAACTGTATGTATCTGAATTATGTGACTTAAAATTTTGATGAAGAATATTATTATTAAATAAATTCGTGATTATTTTTTTGTATTATTGCATTAAAATCAATACAAGGATTGTATCATAGTTTAGGGACCTTTCTTTTGAAATTGCGTATACATACATGCACAGTGCGTTAACTGGAGTGCAAATATTAGTTACCCGTACTTCAGCGCATGTCAATTAATTGGTTCATTTTTGTTGGAGTCGGCAGAGAAAGGGAAAGCGATAGAAATATCATATACAGATGCTCGTTCATTGGTTACTAGTACTTTTTCATGGGGTTTCATATTTTGACAAAAGGAACGTGTCTTTATATTTTACTATGATACAAAACATAAAGAGCATCGAAACACTCGACAATCTGATTAATACTCAGGGGCTACGCCTCCTCCTACAATGGTTCGATGCTCTTTCTATTACTTAGAGTTCGTTAATCAACTCTTTCTATGTGTACGTATTATTTTACTTTTCCAATATTTTGCAAACTTGGTGGGTTACGATAATAAGCAATATCTCCAAATTTATCAAAGCATTGGTCTGTAATTTAAAATTAATTTGCACGACATTTTCATTTAAATGTTATACCGTGTATATCCATTAACACCGGAATTATCTTGAAAAGTAAGCAATACCGTGGAAATTCTCGCACATTTTTTTCAGTTTAGTAATAAAAAAATATTGGCCAGTTTACTTACTGCGTTGGAAATTCTGTCAGGTATCAGTCATTTATTTGACAATTCTGCGTTTCTTTTTGCACGGATCGTGCGTTATTTTCATATTCCGGCGTTACGGGATATACCCGGTGTATTAAGATGTGTTCGTGGAAACTCTTTTAAGGCGTTAGGAAATTAAGTTATAATTTACCTTATTCATAATTTGGCTTGGTGTATTAATTGAAACAATAAAGACAAGTTTATATTGTTAAGTACTTCTTAATATTAAAAATAAACCTATATTTTTATGTTTATACATTTCACTTTAAGTAGACTAACCTTTACTAGCAAAGTTTGCATGTCTTTTTGCATGTTGTTTTAGCCAGAGAAAACCCTGCACCTGAATCTGGGGAACAGAACCCATAACGCTCAATATCGGCACAAGGTAATGTTTGTTGATCACTGTCCACGCAATCAGCGCTACCAGACGTAACGTCAACGTTCACAATGGCAGGTGTTATGTCAACAGAATCTAAAAGATATTTTTTTTTGCACGAAATGTGAGCAGTGATGTTTTATAAGAAGCTGTCATGTAGCCACTATATGATGAAAAATAAAATAACTCACTTGTTAACATACAACTTAACCACATGATGATATACAACTTACGTGTAAAGACCACATGGTGATAAATAACTTACATGTAGAACTACACGATGATTAAAAGAAACTTACGTGTAGACACCACATTAGGATAAAAAAACTTCAGTGTAGACACCACACGAGGATGAAGAACTTACGTGTAAAATTACTTGTAAACACCATTTGATGATAAAAAAAACTTACGTTGAGACATAACATGTTGATAAACAATTTACTTGTAGACACTACATGGTGATCAAAAACTTACGCGAAAACACTACATGAGAATAAATAATTTACATGTTGAACCACATGATGAAAAATAACTAATGCATAAACACCACATGATGATAAAAAAAATCACGTGTAGACATCTAGTTGGTAAACAATTTACCTGTAGACACCACATCTTGATAAAAAAACTTACTTGTAGATACCGCATGAAGATAAATTACTTCAGTGGAGACACCACTTGAGGATAAATAACTTTCGAGTAAAACCACATGATGTTAAATAACTTACGTGTAAACACCATATGACGATATATATCTTACTGTAGACACCACATGGTGACAAATAATTTACATGTCGAACAACATGATGCTTAATAACTTACTTGTAAACATCATATTATGATAAAAAATACGTGAATACATAACATGATGATAAACAACTTACGTGTAGACACCACATTGTGATGAAAAAAACCTTTCGAGTAGACACCACATTATGATAAATAACTTCACTGTTGACATCGCATGACGATAAACAATTTAAATGTAGAACCACTCCATGAAATATAACTTACGGGAAGACACCACATGATAATAAAAAAACCTTTCGACTAGACCCCAAATGATGAAGAATAACTTACGTGTATTCACCACGTGGTGAAGTATAGAACTTACGTGATTAAATAGAGCGTATGCGTAGGCTTTACATGAAAATAAAAAAAATCTAAGGTGTAGTCACCATATGAAGAAAGTTGAATTATGTGTAGACAAAACATGCTGTTATAAGGCAATTAAGTGTAGACACCACGTGGTGAAGAATAACTTACGTGTAGCATATTTAAAACAATTACACACAACCTGTGTTATATATTTTGCAACAATCTTCTTTTGTCTTAAGATGAACGAGAAAATATGATACCTTTAGAAAATGTTTTACCATGATACCTTTAGAAATGTTTTACCATGATACCTTTAGAAAATGTTTTACCAGTTACAATAACGACTGGACGTTGTGTTGTAGGCGCCGCGGTTACGGGACTCAAGTTTCCGGATGGACTGCAAAAGCCACAGTGCTTTGCACATTTCTCGTGTGCGATGGCATATGCCACAGAGGACTGGTCTGAACAGAAATTATACTTATCAAATTCTGCACACCGGAACGTCGCAGTTTCATAGTCTCTACATCCATTATCTATATAGAAATACAAAAAGACAATGTGAAAATACAAACGGTCTAAATGATCAAACAGGACAACTTATAGAAAGTTTCCTATATGTCAGAATTTGCCTTTTGTTTTTTGGCTGCGTTTTAAGGGACATATTTTAATACCGTATATCACTTTCTAATTATGCTAGCAATTAAAGATCATGTATACCTCCCCTTGCACTATATAATGAAGACAAGCATTTGACTAGCTTTAAGTAAGTAGGATACTAAATCCCTTTACGTGAAGCGAATGAAACGCACAACTTTGTAACTTCACTAAATCAGGCCATATTTATCTGTTTCCTCCAAAGTAAAAATTTCGATCAAATTCGACTCAACACTTCAAATGCGAAGCTTAATACATTTTTTCATTCACTATTACATTGGTGCCGTGTCCAGGATTTTTCATTAACTTACAATAAATATAATTTGTTTACTTTACTCAACGTTTTATTTCATGGAGTCATCCATTATGATTGCCTTGCCAAGTGCATTATATAAGAAGTGATTTGATTGGCACTTATCAATTATGATAAACGAATCGATTTTTATATTATCTTTATGAATAACCAATCAACTGTTTGTTTATTGTCTGGAAGCAAATAAATAGCCGAAACTTGTCATTGATAGTTAGTTCGGTGCTGTACAAGGCTCAAGCCTTGACTTTAAAGAAAAACACCGGTCTTAGAGTAAACACTTTCAAGTGTTAATATAAATCAAGTGTTTCTATCAATTTATTCATAAAGCTGTACTATTCATAGATAGGAATCTTACATTTACTTTAAACTTATTTAACAAGGTTAGCTTTTAAAAAAGCTAGTAGCGACTCGCATCGTTATTTTATTCCAGGGGCGTGTTTAAATGTAACAAGAGCTGTCACAGGAGACAGCGAAGCTCGACTAATAAAATACTGGACGCAGTAAGGAGGACAAAACTATGAAAGAAAAATCAATTATGTATAATTATGTATTAAGTAATAGTAAAAAAAATAATATTTGTTAACATAAATTCCAAGATCAAGGGGAATAATTCTAGAAATAGTCATGCTAGAGTTATGGACCTTTTCACACAACATTTGTGTAATGATAAGAAATATATATTTGAAGTTTGAAGTAGATACCTTAAAAAGTAAAGAAGTTATTATATTTCTTAAAGAAAATCCTAAGTTCAAAGAGAGATAAATCTGTAAATATTGCTTTAAGAGTTATGAACCTTGTCACATAAAATGTAATTGATGATAAGGAATAAGTATTTGAAGTTTGAGGTAGATACCTTTAAAAATAAAAAAGTTATAATAAAAAATAACATTTTTCTAGTAAAAAAATCTAAGTTTATGGGGAGTTAATTCTTGCAATATTGGTGCTAGAGTTATGAACCTTCTCACATAAGATGTGGATGATGATTACGTAAATATATTTGAAGTATGAAGTTGATCTCTTTAGAAATAAATAAGTAACAGTAAAAAATATTTTTTATGGAAAATTCTAAGTTCAAAGGGAGATAAATCTGAAAATATTGGTGCTAGAGTTATGAACCTTGTCACATAATATGGGGATGATGATAAGGTAAATATATTTGAAGTATGAGGTCGATCCCTTAAGAAGTAAAGAAGAAACAGTAAGAAATAGTATTTTTTAAGGAAAATTCTAAGTTCAAGGGGAGATAAATCTGTAAATATTGGTGCTAGAGTTATGAACCTTGTCACATAAGATGTGGTTGATGATAAGGAACATATATTTGAAGTTGATACCTTAAGAAATGACAAAGTTATAGTGAAAAATATTTTACTGCACCAAAACTTTAATCTAAAATCTGGACGCGGACGCGAACGCCGACGCCGACGCCGGGGCGAGTAGGACAGCTCTCCATATACTTCGTATAGTCGAGCTAAAAATGACAGTTCTGTACCCGAAGAGACTCCAGCGAACATCAAAATAAAAGTGACATATAAAGTTACGGAAGCCAGTTCTCTCAGTTTAACAAAGGGGAATATGAGTATATATGAAGATGCGTGTAAACAGATAGAATGAAGTCCCTATGTCTATGCACATTTACTATATGGCCTGTTGACCTTGACCAAAAATGTTAGATAGGTAGAATTCATAAAGATGCCTCTTTATACAAAGTTAAGTTGTAATATGTTATTTAGTATTGGTATGAGTGACAGACACAAGTCCTATACAGGAATATATTACTGCAGAACTCTCTTGGGTGTGGGCGAATTTAGATTCATGTGGAATGATTATTTGATTTGTACAAGTTCTCAAGTCTCATAAATCCCGGTCAAAATAGACCGGGAGAGACCGGAAGCGACCGGACCGGAGAATAGTATATCCCAGTAAATACATACACAAAATACCGGAAAGGATAAAATTACCGGAAAAAAAGAAAAAGAAAATATGCACAGAACCAGATGCACACTTATGTTAATTAACCAATTAATTGTTAATTATTTAACTTACTACAGAGAAAACAGGTGAAATCGCTAAATCAAAAGTCAGTGTAAATATGATTTATTGAAAAGAATTCATGAAAACAAATATTTTATCATCATTATCATCTTTGCGCTCAAAGCAATACTTGTTCCTTTTTAAAAATGGCGTGAAAATTGAAGGTTTTTTGACGCTATGTAAGATCAAATTTGATTGGCTTAATTATTTTGGATTCCAGCCCAGACAGATAAATTTTGTAGAAAGCTGGAAGCCAAGCTTAGATTAAATTTTTGGATGGATTCGGAGTTTTAGGTTGTTTCTCAGTAAAATCCTAACGTAATACCGGCTCGCCGTGGCGAGCCGGCATAAACTTTCATTATATTATATAAACAATTGGGACTTGATTAAAAGATTATTGTTTATTTAAAATTACTTAGTTGTTATTTGTATCCCAACAACAAATACGCGGAAAACATGTTCCTTATTACGGCCAAATTGTGATCGCTATATGTCCGAACGAATCTCATTTAAAACTGCCACTATTATATTCTGAAGAACAGTAATCTTATCGCACTTTAAAATTATTTAACCGTGAATAAACTAACACAATGGCAACAATAAATTTCTTCAAACTATAAGTATGTAAATACTATTACATTGTATATATTTAATTAAAGTGACCACATAATATCTAAACTTGATCACCGCTGTACCCAATTTAATTTTTTTCAAGTAAACTATTTAACTATAAAACATGGTGGCACATTTCTGCCACCAGATAACTTGATAACTAATTAGTTGATTAAGATGTTAACTAGTTACGTAACACGTTAACTTCTTAATTTACTAGTAAGTTAAGAGATTTACTAGTTACTTAGCTAGTTAACCTCTTAATTAAATAGTCAGTTAAGTGATTAATTTGTTACGTATTTACGAAGCTGATAACTAAGTAGTTATTTAAGAGGTACACTAGTTACGTAACTAGTTAACCTCTATATCAACTTATAAGTTATCAGGTTATCTGGTGGCAGAAATATGCAACCATAATAAAAAAAATGCATTAATAATGAAATTCACAAGACAATTTTCGACAATAATAGCTATGAAATATTTAATAGTAAAAAGATATAGTGTTAAAACCACCTGTAGTTATTTGAGCTGGGACAGATGTTGCTCCGTGGTCTATATACTTTGCTGAAATAGAAACATACTTATAAGCTTAAACACACTTATCTTTTGATGGAATCAACAAATGAACGCAAAACATTGTCATTCAAATAATGAGAGAAATCACATGATTGTTCTTAATTTTTGAAATAGATGAATTTCTTCATTTTCACGGCGCGTCAGCTACCTATAACAATAGAATCACCAGCAACAACGGCTCCTCAGCTTGCTATAACAATGACATCACCAACCAACAACTGCTCATCACCTGGCTAAAACAATAACATCACCAACCAACAACTGCTCATCAGCTGGCTATTACAATGACATCACCAACCAACAACTGCTCATCAACTGGCTATAACAATGACATCACGAACCAAAAACTGCTCATCAACTGGCTATAACAATGACATCATCAACCAACAACTGCTCATCGCCTGTATATAACAATGACATCACCAACCAACAACTGCTCATCACCTGTATATCACAATGACATCACCAACCAACAACTGCTCATCTCCTGGCTATAACAATGACATCACCAACCAACAACTGCTCATCAACTGGCTATAACAATGACATCACCAACCAACAACTGCTCATCAACTGGCTATAACAATGACATCACCAACCAACAACTGCTCACCACCTGTATATAACAATGACATCACCAACCAACAACTGCTTGTCACCTGGCTATAACAATGACATCACCAACCAACAACTGCTCATCACCTGTATATAACAATGACATCACCAACCAACAACTGCTTGTCACCTGGCTAAAACAATAACATCACCAACCAACAACTGCTCATCAACTGGCTATAACAATAACATCACCAACCAACAACTGCTTGTCACCTGGCTATAACAATAACATCACCAACCAACAACTGCTTGTCACCTGGCTAAAACAATAACATCACCAACCAACAACTGCTCATCACCTGTATATAACAATGACATCACCAACCAACAACTGCTCATCACCTGGCTATAACAATGACATCACCAACCAACAACTGCTCATCACCTGGCTATAACAATGACATCACCAACCAACAACTGCTTGTCACCTGGCTATAACAATGACATCACCAACCAACAACTGCTCATCGCCTGTATATAACAATGACATCACCAACCAACAACTGCTCATCACCTGGCTATAACAATAACATCACCAACCAACAACTGCTCATCACCTGGCTAAAACAATGGCATCACCAACCAACAACTGAACATCAGCTAGCTATAAAAATGACATCACCAACCAACAACTGCTTGTCACCTGGCTATAACAATGGCAACACCAACCGACAACTGCTCATCACCAGGCTATAACAATAACATCACCAACTAACAACTGCTCATCAGCTGGCTATCATAGGAACTCGAGAACGGGACCGCAGATTGCGGCGTATATTTTCGATCGTGTAACGGTTTTTAAAAACGTTTCTATTACATCTATATATCTTTTAGTATTATCCGAGTGTATGGACTCAGAAAATATATTATCAATTGAACCCAATCTGTATCTTTTAAAACTGGTCAAATTTTACGGTATTATAAAGAGTCAAGGAGTGACATCCGCCATTTGCCGCAACGTTTTCGGCATGAGTTTTTCCCCTTTGGCTACAATTGATTACTATTTTCTCAGAATTTTGTTCGCGTTATTTTTGTCAACTATCAGGTATCGTCCGGATATAACGTGAACGGTTTATTGTTTACACGTGTTGACATGTATAGGCGGCATTATAACGGGCGTATGCGTGTATTGATTTGTTTAAATGGAGAAAACAGACACTTTAGTAATATGGTCCAACTGATTTTGCCTAACTGAAAAAAGGAATTTTAAAACATAATCCATAGATAAATATTTTAGGTACTCATCTTGTATTCATTACTAGAAAAATTAAAACAAAAATCAAGCATATCAAGGGGGATAACTTACACCGAACGTTGCGGCAAATGGCGGATGTCACTCCTTTTCTTTTTTCAATATACCGTAAATTTGACTGATTTTTAAATTAGCAGATTATATTATATTGAGATTAGATCATTAAAGACTACCCGCTCGCATAATATGAAAAGATATTTAAAGGTCGGACAAACTATATGTAAAGCCGGTAAGGATTCGGATTTATGCGCCGCAATATGCGGTCCTGTTCCAGAGTTCCTATGCTGGCTATAACAATAACATCACCGACCAAAAACTGCTCGTCACCTGGTTATAACAATGGCATCACCAACCAACAACTGCTCATCAGCTGGCTATAACAATGGCATCGCCAACCAACAACTGCTCATCAGCTGGCTGAAACAATGGCATCATAAACCAAAAACTGCTCATTACCTGGCTATAACAATGACATAACCAACCAACAACTGCTCATCATCTGGCTATTACAATGACACCACCAGCCAACATCTGCTCGTCAGCTTGCTATAACAATGTCACCAACCAACAACTGCTCATCAACTGGCTATAACAATTACATCTCCAGTCAACAACTGCTTATCGCCTGGCTATAACAATGACATCACCAACTAACAACTGCTAATTAGATGGCTATGACAATGACATCACCAACCAACAACTGCTCATCATCTGGCTATAACAATAACATCACCAACCAACAACTGCTCGTCAGCTGGCGATAACAATAACATCACCAGCTAACAACTGCTCATCACCTGGCTATAACAATGACATCACCAACCAAAAACTGCTCATCAGCTGGCAATAACAACAGAATCACCAGCCAACAACTACACATCAGCTGGCTATAACAAAAGAATCACCAACCAACAACTGCTCATCAGCTGGCTATAAAATTGACATCACCAACCAACAACTGCTCGTCAGCTGGCTATTACAATAACAACACCAACCAAAAACTTCTCATCAGCTTGCTATAACAATGACATCACCAGCCAATGATGTTCAGCAACTGGTTATAACAATGACATCACGAACCAACAACTGCTCATCAACTGGCTAGTACAATCACATCACCAGCCGACAACTGCTCATCAGCTGGCTATAACAATGGCATCATAAACCAAAAACTGCTCATCACCTGGGTATATCAATGGCATCACCAAACCATCAACTGCTCATCAGCTGGCTGAAACAATGGCATCATAAACCAAAAACTGCTCATTACCTGGCTATAACAATGACATAACCAACCAACAACTGCTAGTCAGCTGGATATAACAATAACATCACCAACAAAAAACTTCTCCATAGCTGGCTATAACAATGACATCACCAGCCAATGATGCTCATCAGCTGGCTATAACAATTACATCACCAGCCATTAACAGCTCATAAGCTGGCCATAACAATGACATCACCAACCAACAACTGCTCGTCAGCTGTCTATTACAATGACTTACAAACCAAACCCTGCTCATCACCTGGCCCTAACAATAACATCACCAACCAACAACTGCTCATCAGCTGGTTATTACAATGACATCACCAACCAACAACTGCTCGTCAGCTGGCGATAACAATGACATCGTCAGCTATCAACTACTCGTCAGCTTGCTATCGCAATGGCATCACCAACTAACGACTGCTCATCACCCCGCTATAACAATGGCATCACAAACAAACAACTGCTCATCACCTGGCTATAAAAATGACATCATATACCAAAAACTGCTCATCAGCTGGCTATATAAATGAGATCACCAGCCATCAACTGCTCATCGGCTGGCTCTAACAATGACATCACCAACCAACATTTGCACGTCAGCTGGCTGATACAATGACTAACTAACAAAACCCTGCTCATCACCTGGCTATAACAATAACATCACCAACCAACAACTGCTCATCATCTGGATATTACAATGACACCACCAGCCAACATCTGCTCGTCAGCTTGCTATAACAATGACGTCACCAACCAACAACTGCTCATCAAATGGCTATAACATTTACATCTCCAGTCAACAACTGCTTATCGCCTGGCTATAACAATTACATCACCAACCAACAACTGCTTATTAGCTTTCTATAACAATTACATAACCAACCACAACTACTCATCACCTTGCTATAACAATTACATCACCAGCAAACAATTGCTCGTCAGCTGGCTATAACAGAGACATCACTAACCAAACCCTGCTCATCATCTGGCTATAACAATGACATCACCAACCAACAACTGCCCATCACCTGGCTATAACAATGACATCACCAACTAACAACTGCTCATCAGCTGGCAATTACATTGACTGACTAACCAAACCCTGCTCATCACCTTGCTATAACAATAACATCACCAACCAACAACTGCTCATCAACTAGCTTTAACAATGACATCACTAACCAAACCCTGCTTATCACCTTGCTATAACAATGACATCACCAACCAACAACTGCTCATCAGCTGGCCATAACAATGACATCACCAGGCAACAACTGCTCATCAGCTGGCTATTACAATAACATCACCAACCAACAACTGCTCATCAGCTGGCTATTACAATAACATCACCAACCAACAACTGCTCATCAGCTGGCTATTACAATAACATCACCAACCAAGAACTGCTCATCAGCTGGCCATAACAATGACACCACCAGCCAACAACTGCTCATCAGCTGGCTATTACAATAACATCACCAACCAACAACATGAATAACAATCACCAACCAACCTCATCACTGCTCATGACCTGGCTATAACAATGACAATAACACCAACCAAGAACTGCTCATCAGCTGGCCATAACAATGACATCACCAACCAACAACTGCTCATCAGCTGTCATCAGCTGGCTATTACAATAACATCACCAACCAACAACAACTGCTCATCAGCTGGCTATAACATCACATAACAACATCACCAACCAAAAACTGCTCATCAGCTGGCAATAACAATGCTACATCACCAAGCTAACAAAACTGCTCATCACCTGGCTATTACAATAACATCACCAACCAACAACAACTGCTCTTCAGCTGGCTATTCTACAATGACATCACCAAC